AAATAAGATAATAAATAATATAAAAAATTAACTTCCTGTTTGTTGCTTTTCAGGACTTAAGGGGAAAAAATCAAGACAATTTTTTTTCTTTTCCATTGTTTGCCATGGTACGGTAGAGGATTAGGGCCACTGAAAATTTTTAAAAAAAGGAATTCTGACTTTAATCTCAGATTTCTGACTTTAATCTCAGATTTCTGACTTTAATCTCAGATTTCTGACTTTTCTTCTCAGAATTCTGAGATTACAGTCAGAATTCCTTTTATTTTTTTTCAGTGGCCCTAATCCTCTTCCGTAGTAGAAATGAAAGAATTGCTAAAAAAAAAAATTGCACATCACAATTTTTTAATGTTCACCTTCAGGGTAAAATAATATTAAAATATTTTGATTTTGAATTTTATTTATTTATTTATTTATTTTTACTCACCGCATGACTTAAAGTCAAGAGAAACAAAACTTAGACATTTTTTTTTCTTTCCTTCTTGCCTTTCAGGTCTTCTGCAGGGTTGATCATGTTCCTCTGTGAATCAAATGTGTGTTTGAGATTTATAAATCATCACGTTCTGTTTGAAACATTTGAATATTTTACATAATGTCTCGACTTTTTTTGATCCGAGTCATATTTACAGAAGTTTGTATAAAAGATTTACAGAAACCAACGAGTTTACGAACAGATCAGTTATCTTTTGTTCTCAGTAAAATATTCTGCAGGTAAATCTCTAGTTTTTCACAACTATTTTATCTGAGTCTTTGGGGTTTTTCTCTCTCTGCGGTTCCTTCGGGTTGTTTCTGATCCGTTTCCAGCAGCTTGTTTATCCCAGATGTAAAAACAACCAAAAGATTTAAAAAACAAAACATAAAAGGAGGCAGATTCTCAGGACTTCAGAACATTTCCTCACCTCTGGGTCTGCAGGAAGTCCAGCTTTTGTCTGATTCAGAAAACTCACGGAGCTGAAAACCAGCAGGAGCCACAGACGTCTTTAGTCAGATTATTCTGTTTTAAAAACTCACTGATGTTATTTTAGTCACGTTGCATAAGAAAAAGTGAATTAGCACCATAAATAACCAAATAAATACAAAATAATAATAAATAAGAGAAAACAAACTTAAATAATCGGGTGGATAATAAAGAGAAAGGCACTTCCTGAGCTTCCTTCACAGATCTGATCCAGAACCTTCAGTTCTTTAACGTTTTCCTCCCCGGGAGCGAGCGAGCGACGCCGTGACGTCTACGTCCCCCGGTGACCCCCCTGCATGCTGCCGGTGCTGATGCTGATGTCGAAGCAGGTCTCCATCATCAGGCGGGACTTGCACAGGCTGACGCAGTCGTCCAGCTCTGCCGTCGCCTGAGCCAGAGCCTCCAGGTACTCTTGGGACTCCCGGTCCAAGTCCTGGTCCACGTCAACTGTTGGCGGGGGTCGAAGAGGGAGGCGAGAGGGGACAGGTTGCTTATTTAAAAAAAACAAATTCCTTCAGCAGAACCTAATCTAGGTCTCTCCGGTTCTCCTGACTCACACTCTCCGGTCCACCTGCTGGGTTGGAGCATCAGCCGGACCTTGGCCTCCTCCAGCTCCACCTTCAGCTGCTCGTGTTTGCTCCTCAGCTCCCTGATCTGCTGCTGCCGCCTCTCCAGCATCCTCAGCCGGGCGTTGAAGTACAGCAGGCCCTGAGGAGGGAGTAGAGACCGGGTCAGAACCAGAACCCTGCAGAGACTGCGTCCTGCTGCTGCTGCCGGCGGTGTTTTTGGATGTGATGCGGATTAGAGGAGCGGAACAAGAAGCCTCAGCAGGTCCACATGGATTTCATTAAGAGTCGGCGGAAGATTAAATTAGCATTAATCTGCAGAGTTAATCTGCAGGACGGAGGATTAGGGAGAGCTGAGCGGAGCAGGTGACGACTCTCCGCTCTGACAGCTGTGGAAATATAACTCCACCAATTCAGAAACCAGAAACTCACCTTCTCCACGTCCTGAAACGGCTGCTGGGAAGAAAGAAAACAGATCAGGTTTTATTAGATGGAAAATAAATCAAAGTTTGTGTCAAAAACAGATAACTCCTCCCTCGTCTTCCTCCAGCTCATCCTGCGTCCTGCTGCAGGTCAGAGGTCACGTTTTATCTGTGAGCACCTCCTCACCTCGGAGCCCACCTCCTTCCCCCTCTGTAGACGCTCCACGTCGTCGATCTCGTACACCTTGATCTCGAACGGCTCCTTCAGTGCCCCGCCCACCGGGGGGAGGTCCACCCACTTCCTGCCCAGAGATGAGGCATCAGGGAGCGGAGCTGGGATCAGCCTCCGCCGCAGGAAGGCTCCTGGAGAGAAGAAGAGAAGTTCTTCATGGTATTCAGTCGTCTGTGATGATGTTTTTACAAAGTTAGTCTTCATTAGCCACTCTTGAGCCACTCATTAGCTAGCCTACTTCTTAACAGCGTAAGCCATCTGTTAGCAGCTTGTTAAACATCAGACACTCATTAGTCTTTTGTTAGCCACTTCAGTCAGTAGCCATGTTAGTCCCTTGTTAGCCACTCATTAGCAGCATGTTAGTTACTTGTTAGCAGCTTCTTAGCTACTTGTTAGCCACTCATTAGCAGCTTGCTAGCTACTCATTAGCCACTTGTTAACTACCTGTTAGCCACTCATTAGCAGCTTGCTAGCTACTCATTAGCAGCTTCTTAGCTACTTGTTAGCCACTCATTAGCAGCTTGCTAGCCACTCATTAGCCACTTGTTATTAGCTCATTAACCACTCATAAGCAGCTTGTTAGCCACTTATTAACTACTTGTTAGCCACTCATTAGCAGCTTGCTAGCCACTCATTAGCCACTTGTTAACTACTTGTTAGCTACTCATTAACCACTCATTAGCAGCTTGCTAGCCACTCATTAGCCACTTGTTAGCTACCTGAAAGCCACTCATTATCATTAGCAGCTTGCTAGCTACTCATTAGCAGCTTGCTAGCTACTCATTAGCCACTTATTAACTACTTGTTAGCCACTCATTAGCAGTTTGCTAGCCACTCATTAGCCACAGGTTATTAGCTCATTAACCACTCATAAGCAGCTTGTTAGCCACTCATTAGCGATACTTGGTAGTCACTCATTAGCAGTTTGCTAGCCACTCATTAGCCACTTGTTATTAGCTCATTAACCACTCATAAGCAGCTTGTTAGCCACTTATTAACTACTTGTTAGCCACTCATTAGCAGCTTGCTAGCCACTCATTAGCCACTTGTTATTAGCTCATTAACCACTCATAAGCAGCTTGTTAGCCACTCATTAGCCACTTGTTAGCTACTTGTTAGCCACTCATTAGCAGCTTGCTAGCCACTCATTAGCCACTTGTTATTAGCTCATCAACCACTCATAAGCAGCTTGTTAGTCAGCTCATTAACCACTTAGTAACAGCTTGTTAGCCACTCATTAGCCCCTTGTTAGCTACTCATTAGCTGCTCATTAGCAGCTCATGAGCCATCTTTAAGAGCTTGTTAGCCCCCTTGTTAACTGATCATTAGCTGCTCATTAGCCACATTAGCCAGTCATTAGTAGCTAACAAACTACTCGTTAGCAACTCGTTTGCTGCTTGCTAGCTTTTATTTTTCCTCCTCATCCACATCAGGTGTTTTTACAGAACCAAAAGTCCTCACAGCATCTGTCAGTCATGTTATTGGTACCAACCATTATTGACGATTAACACCATCCTGACTGAGTAACACACCTCAGACAGCCTGACGAGTGTGTGAGGGTGATAATTGGACGTGTGCGTTCACTGCGTCCTCATGAAACATTCATGAAACAGAGAGGAGGGTGTCCACGGTGCCGATGGGGCAGGCAGCTGATCCACCTGCACACTGACCCCCTGACACATGCATCCGATCAGCTGCTGGGAGGAGGAGACGACAGAGAAGAGGCTGCTGGGTGTTGAACACCAAGGGAACCTTTGCTCCTGCAGCCGTCATTCCTTCTCCTCAGAGGAAATATTAAACCCAACAGCCACTTTCATCCCATCATCATGCTTCAGTTGATGGAAAAAAAGCCATAAATATGGTGATTTCTCTTTACGGTTTGAAGGAAACGTGACTTTTATAGCTTTTTTACTGCCTGAGCCAATATAGCAAATTTCCTTTAAGCACCTGTCAATCATCAGTTTAATAATAAGTGATTCAGGAAGTAAAACGTGCTTCATGAAGGTTCACTTCTGCAGTTCTCCTCTTGTAAAAATTCAAGTTTGGATCAACAGAAAAAAAGTAAAAATTCAAATATTAAATAGAAATGCAATGCAACAAGAGTTCATTGTCTTTAAAGGGATTACCGATTAGTTGTAACATTAGACTTTATTTGATAAACATATATTTTAACTGTAAAATAAAGACTGTATAAATACTGTAGGCTGTTTAGTTTTTATAATTTTTAAAAATATATTTTAACATGGACGGAGCATTTTTATTTACACGCAAAGCATTCTGGGTAAATGATGACGTGGATAGGTCCTCGGTGCGAGGCTGCTAGCGAGCTATATCCACCCTGAAGGTTAATCTTGGACAATATCTGATGATCGACTCTTTTAAATGAAACCAGAGAGCGTTGACAGAGAGGAGAAGGTAGAAATGACTCAGCCTGGAACTGAAAATATGGATGGAGGACAACAGAGCTGCTTCATGGAAGAACAACCTCAGATTAGCCTGTTAGACTTTGCGCTAGCGCCGACGCTATATAGCCTTATATGTAATAGCTCGGTGCTAGAGCGACAAACAAGCTAATCTGAGGTCCTCCATTCATATTTTCAGTTGCTGCTGAGTCATTTTTACGTTCTTCTCTGTCATGTGGATGGAGGACCTCAGTGACGAGAGGAGAATGTGTAGCGCTGAGCTAATACATATATATGGTGATAGCATCAGGGCGAATGCTAAAGCTAACAGGCTAAGCTGAGGTTCTTCTTCCATGAAGCAGCTCTGTTGTCCTCCATCCATATTTTCAGTTMCAGGCTGAGTCATTTCTACCTTCTCCTCTCTGTCAACGCTCTCTGGTTTCATTTAAAAGAGTCGATCATCAGATATTGTCCAAGATTAAACTTCAGGGTGGATATAGCTTGCTAGCAGCCTCGCACCGAGGACCTATCCAGGTCATCATTTACCCAGAATGCTTTGCTTATAAATAAAATGGCCCTGTCCGTGTAATATATCTTCAAACTTTTAGTTTAAAAATTATAGAAACTAAACAGCCTGCAGTATTTTTACAGTCTTTATTTTACAGTTAAATATATATGTTTATTAAATAAAGTCTAATGTTACAACTAATCATGGATCCATTTAAAGGCTTCAGGTTTCTAAAGCCTGAGCTTTTATTTTTCTGTAGTTTTATTCATTAATAAGCTAACGATGCTCACATGGCTACACCTTCAAAGAGAGATGATTTACAGACAGAAACAGCTTTGGACTCCTCTATGAACTCCAAATAATTAGCTGTATGTGACACTTTCACCAACATCATCACTGTTTTAACAGGAAATCTTTGGATTCACCATTTCCTCTCTTCTTGGGGGACTTGGACACCCGGCCTCTGTTGGACGAGGACGCTCCGCTTTCGCTCATGGAGTCATGCGCCGATGAGGTGCTGCCGGTGGTCTCGCTGTCCCGGATCATGCTCTCGTAGCCGCTGCTGCCCCCGCTGTGATAGAACAGGGCCGTGCGGCCCATAGCGGGGGGCAGCTCGCCGCTGAGGATGCTGCTATTGTCGCTGCCGTGCCCGCTGCTGTAGCGCTGCGGCCTGCGAGGCGCGGTAATCTTACTGTAGGGCGACGGCAGCGGCGTACCGAGCGGCGACCTGCTCGCGCTGCTCGTCCCACTGTCGCAGCTCTCACTTTCTCCGAGTCCCCGGCTGAGCTGCTTCCTCCCAGCAGCTAGCTCGCTGACCCGGCTGTTAGCCACCCTGTTGACGACCTGCTTTGTGCCCATGATGGTGCCTCGTCCCAGCTTAGCTCCGTTTCCGGCTCGAGAAGGAGATCTGCCGGTTGGAGGAAGGCTGCCGGTGCTGTACACAGCTGGAGTTTCTGAAGGTTTGGGAGAGGAACTAAAGCTCTTCGAGCTGCTGGTTGACAATGATCGAGCCTTCAGTCCTCCAGAAGCAGCAGCTCTTGATCCGACAGCACCTCGGACCTGACCCAGTTTGTTGCTGGTTGCATAAGCCGCAGAAGAAACTTGAGAAGACAAGGTGGAGTTTGAGGCTGGAAGATTGAGTTTTGGTGCTGATCTGTTGGACTTGCTGCTACTATCCTTAAACACCTCCGATTTTGAGCTTGGTGATGGTGGACTGTCACATCTTTCCAGAGACATTAAACTCCCATAAAACCTGGAAGAATCTGCTTTGGCTCCTCGTGTCTTCAGGCTGGAAGATGTCCTCAGAGAACCATGATCAGTTTTTAAGCTAGATGTCCTGTGGCTGAATGAATCTGCTGGAAGCCTGACAATGAATTCCTCCTCTGGGGTTGAAGTTTTGGGGAAAACAAACTTCCCACCGTCACTGCTCGTCTTTAAGGCACTTGGAGAACTTGTTTTCTGTTCTTGGCTGGACTGTCTGAAAGGTGGAATAAGATGAGAGATGTTTTCAGATCCAAACTTAGAGATCATGCTCTTTTGTTCGTTTGACTTTTTTCCGAGTGATGAAAACCTTATCATCCCGATCTCCGAGGCAGCCTCGTGACTCCACTTCGGTTCCGAGCTCTGGGGAGTGGAAACAGTTCCCAGGGTCGTCGCACCTCGAGTGAGTCGAGGCATCTTGATGAGGGTGTCTCCTCTCCTGTTGGTGGGCTTCTCACAACCATCCACAACCCTCTGAGCTGACGATATCTGCGTCTTTGGAGGTCTAGGCATGCTGTTGCTGTTCCCTCCATATTTCCTAGAGGAAATGGTATTCGTGCCACTTCTCACTGACTTACCATCACAGAGAACCCCAGCCTCTCTGGGATCGACGAATCTGCTTCCCTGAAGCAAAAGATTCTCGTGTCTTCCTTCCTGCCTGCTGCAACCCACAGCAGCAGATGAGGTAGGTTTGTTTTTTCTGGGAAGACTTGAGTGGGTGGTATTTGGGGGATTCTGGGTTGTTGCTGAGGTGTTCAGGGTGCTGGCTCTCATCTTAGGGGAGCCTTTGGAGGGGACTTTGGCTAAATCGGGGGAAGGAGAGTGCTCGGTAAAAGAGGGTTTTTGTGGAGTTGCAGGGTCACTGTCCAGCTCTGAGAAACAGACACCGCTGTCGTTCAATGTGCTCTTCAGACCATGCTGCAGGAATCTCTCTCTATGAAATATACTCGGTGAGCTCAAAACGGATGAAGTCTCCTCCCTGAAGTGAAGCCTGTTTGTTAAACCACTGCCTTCACTTCCAACAAGTGTCCTGCAGTCTGACCCCTCAGCCCCGTGCTGAGAAGTGTAAGCATCATACTCATCGTTGATGCTTGCGATGATGCTGACTGGTCGCGAGCCTGTTGTCAAGGCCTGCGGCGAGCGATCTGCGTTGAAGCTCAGGAGGTTGGGTGGGCGGCCGTTGCCCGGAATGAGGCTGAGTGGAAGCTCCTCGATGACAGTGAAAACAAGCTCATCCTCCCCGTTCAACTCCACAGGCTGCTGCAGCGTGACTGTAGTCCTCAGGAAGTCTCTGTCCATGCACCTTCCTAGAAGAGCAGCACGAAAACCGCTGACCTCCATGGGGTATTTGTTGACATGAGGGGGACTAAATGTGTCGGATGGCACCTGGTAGCTCATGCCGACAGGGGGAGTCCTGCTGGGAGCTTCTCCAGGCGTGACTGTTGCAGATGTTGGGGCAGAGGTTTGTGAGGGTTGCAGCTTGGGTTTGCCTCTTACTTTCTCACGCACCACAGGCTCTGAATCCAGGGAGAAACTCCCGCTGGACCCCACCAAACATGGGTAAACGGGGGCAGCTGTAAGCTTCTCACCATCAGCACTTGTCCTTTTAGAGGATGGTAGGGTCCCGTCTGAGAGGAGTCTGGATTCTCTCTGATCAGGACTCTTTGTGCTCTGGGATTCAGGTGGATGAGTTTCCTCTGAGGCTTTAGAAGCTGCCAGACCTTCACTGCCATCGATGCAATCAAGTCTCTCCTGCAGCTCCGCGAACGTGTTGCACTTCAAGTGATCTCCGTCTCTCCTGGGTGTGACTTTGGCTCGTTTTTTGTTCAGAGAGGGAATGATGGGAACAAAGGAAGGTGGACCCTCGTTGTCACTCAGCTCTCGGTCGGATATTGCTGTCCCTCCAGGCCCAATGTAGATGACAGTGTCACAGGACTGTTCACTGCTAGAGGAATAGTCGGGATCACTGGAGGGAAGCAGGGGGGTCTCTGAGTCCAGAGCCACGATGCGAGGGTGGAGGGGTCGGAGAGGAGGAGGCCGACGGGCAGGGCCTTCCTCACAGGAACTCTCCCCTCCAGAAGAGCTGGAAGCATACTGGAGATAAAAAACACAAAACATTAACACAACAAAGAAAACTTGAAACAACCTGAATACAAATCAATGTTTGGAGTTATTAATGTCCATTAAGTCCAAGGGTAAAAGTTCACAATGTAAGCTGAATTCAAATTATTGTCAGTAATTTGCGTGTGCCTCTTGTTCTCCTGCTGTATGTTTTTATATCCTTTGAAATTCAAATAAAAGCCATCAGTTAGATCAATGAGGGTGAGAGGCCATCTCATTCCTGCAGAAACACCATCATTGATTATCTGTCATATCAGAGGAAAATAACAGTGGATTCATGGTCTTCTGTTGGAGATCTACATTAGAGAGGTTTTACAGTCACTGACCACAAAATATCAATCGGAACTTTTTTAAGAGGCCGAAGCCTTTCAGTTCAGTACACGTCATTCACACGTGTTGCTGAAACTGAATGATTCAAAAAGCTGATTGCTGATGGTTCAGACCTGACATTAAACACAAAAATGTGCAGCCAGTTACATACCCAATAAATACCAAGAGTAAAATTACTTATCTGGTTATGTACATGGCTTTTAAGGTACACAGCACCAGATAAGTACAAGGTAGGTTCTTAATATGTACCAGGTTAAGTAATACATATAAGGCAAGTACCTAATACATACCAGGTACCTGGTTACTTGCCTGGCTGGTACATGCCATGTATTATACTTGAAATGTAAACTAAAGGTACAAGGTATAAATTAAATATGTACCAGGTAAGTAAGCAATATGTACCTGTTTAGTACCTAATACATACCAGGTACCTGGTTACTTACCTGGCTGGTGAATACCAGGTATTTTACTAGATATGTAAACTAATATGGGGTGCCGTTTGTAAAGTTACACAGTCAAAAATTACCACCAATATTTTTGTTTTATTTAGCCTTTCTTAAGAAAAAAAGAACAGATTTATTTTTCAAAGTCAGTTTTTCACCATATGATTCATACATTTATAAATGTCATAGTTAGCAAGCTAAATATTTAACTTGTGACTTAAATATTTAACTTGTGACTTAAATATTTAGCTACCTACCTAAATATTTAGGTCGCTACCTAGCCAGCTAAATATTTATGTTGCAACCTAAATATTTAAGTTACAAGCTAAATATTTAGCTCAAAACTAAATATTAAGTCACAAGTTATATATTTAGCTTGTTAACTAAATATTTAATTTGAAAGTTAAATATTTAGTTTATAAACTATGACATTTATAATGTATGAATCATGTGGTGAAAAACTGACTGAAAAATAAATCTGTTCTTTTTTTCTTATAAAAGGCTAAACAAAACAAAATATTGGTGGTAATTTTTGACTGTGTAACTTTACAAACGGCACCCCATAGGTACAAGGTAAAACCAAATATGTACCAGGTGGGTAAGCAATATGTACCTGGTAAGTACTTAATACATACCAGGTACCAGGTTACTTACCTGGCTGGTACATACCAAGTATTTTACTTGATATGTACACTATAGGTATGACCAAGAGCTAAGTATGTACCAGGTATACCTGGTATTTGTGTATGTAATATATGGAGGTGGAGTTTGGGATCTAACCTTAAAACACTAGAAGATTCGATATCTGAAGCTTTTATTTGTAAATTATTTATATTTAGGTTGTTTTAGCAATACATTACTCAGTTCTTACAATCAGCCAGAAGAAGTAAAATTAAATAAAACATGAATTACTTTGGCCTTCTTCTTCCTCAGGCGGTGGATTCGTGAGGCCAGCTGGACCGTGGTCAGCGTCTCCAGGTAGTTCAGCGGAGAATCCGAGACGTGCGCGATCATGGTGGTTCGACAGTTGATGTTACCCAGAGATTCTCTGAGCAGCATGGTGAGCTTGCTGTCCCTGAATAATACATCAAGAGAACCCTCGTTAGTCCCAAAAAAGCAAGGGAAGAAAGAAAGACACACTCCGGGTCCGGGAAACCCCACAGGATCCCAGAGACCATTCATTACACCGCGCAACAGTTGGGCAAAAAACAGAATAAGGAAGATCCCTCATCTCACATTCATGAGGCGCACTTTGAACTGCACGCCACATGTGATCATACAGTGTGAGATCTGGTCTTTGAAGAGACCTGGAGGATGCTCTGCTGGATTTACATACTACACTCTAAGCCTTTTCCTACGCTTCTACTTAATGCCAACAACAAAGGTGAAAATATTATGAGTCCTGGGTTTTAGCTGCCTCCTCTGGATCAACTAATCCTGCTGCCTTCGCTGCTGATTTTACGCTCATTTTTAAAAATACATGTAAATCAGTGTTTCTATCAGCTGCTTTCATGTGAAAATAATGAAGAGGATGCGACCTGATAACTTCAATAATCTCACTGCGATGGTGCAGAGCAGATATTTCCACAAGAAAAACATGTTTCACTTTAAAACAGAAGGTGGTTTAAAGCTCTAAAGATGGTATAAAACTGAAGTGGAACAATGAGGACACCTCGGCCTGTAGGAATGAAATGGCTCGTAAACAGGAACACAGTGAGGCAAAAAGTCAAGCAATAAAAGCAGAGTTCAACAGAACAATCAGCCTGAATAATAAACACCCAGAGGACTCAATACATGTGTCAATTAGCATTTTAAAGTAATGAATTCATCAGCATAAACCAGCATTTTAAAATGACTGAGGGGTCATTAAAAACAGATTGAATTCTGCTGTCCAGTGTCCTCACAGGAACCAAGGGTCCATCTGTCTTCTGTTATCAAGATGCTAACGGCGTGAGCTCAAACCTGTAGGGAACATGCTTGGCTCCGTTGGCCAGCGCTAGGATGACATTTCCCAGGGCGGATAGAGACAGACACTGGCCTCCGCCTCCCTCTCTGGTCCTGCTGATGTCCGTCTCGCAGCTGCCCAGGTCCAGGAAGTGGAGACGACTCCTGCCTGACACTGAGACAAACAAAATAAAAAAAATTTAAAAAAAACACGGGTCAGACGCAGAACACTTTAACCGCCGGTTAATACTGAAATGATGTGTCGTTCAATGCATTTATTGACAGATAAATAATTCATGACCTTGAGTGTTAATCTTAACTAGAAGATGTGATGCTGAGTCTCTGCAGGAGCAAAAACTAACGATAGAACAAGAATCAGCTCTGCAGCCTCTGCAGGGCAGCAGGAGGAGGCGACACGCACACGATCTGCAGGACGTCTCCAAAGAATTCACAGTGCCGAGCAATTTCCCACAGTCCAGATAAGGTTGATTCGACCCTGACTCAGGTCTCAGAGGTGAAACTGACTGAAGCTAATCCTAATTACATATGAAAAATCTCAAGAAACTAATCTTGAGTCTAGAGTTAATGCTTTCAATTTGAGCCATGAAAATCAAAACAAGCTCAGCGTTAAATCTATCAGTCAAACAGACGAGTCCAAATCAACAAGGGACAAAAGGAGGTCTGTACTCTGATAAAGTTAGCAGATATAAATCAATATAATTTAAATAAATGGTAAACAAAAATCTGATTCATTTGCATAATTAGTTAATTAATTAATTCCACCTAATTAATTAGTAAATCTATATCACTTTTTGCAGATATTTGGTATAGCTCAATATATTTTCTTTAATAATTAGTCTTTAAAACTTAATTTATCAGTTTTTGCCATACAATTATTTTGAGTTTACTCAACATTTATAATATTAGTAATCCAGGTAGAAAAATCAAAAAGAAAAAATGGAAGTCCTCTGGTTCTTCTTTAATAAAACATTTTGTCTCTCCTCCAAGAGTGTGAGGACTTTACTTTGGATGGTTGAACCCCAAGTGCAGAACTGAATGACGATCAAAAGAGTTGCAAAAGATTTTATTAAACAAAATAAAAGGCTGGCGTGGCAGCAATAATCCAAGGCTGTGGCAAGAGAACAAAAATCACTGGCTATGGTGATCATGAATAGGGAAAAACAACAAAAGCTCTGACACAGACTGAGGACAAAAAACAGACTATAAAGGAGAACTAATAAGTAGAAACAAGAAACACCTGGGAGAGAAACATGAGGAGCAGGTGAGAGTGGGCGGGGCCGAGCAAAGACAGGCAGGAGAAGGAGAACCAGAAATACATGACAGAAAACCAGAAGAGTAACCAAAATAAAACACCCACACAGACACGGACAGTGACAAAGAGACTTCTTCAGTCTGAGGAGTTTCAGGTGAACTCAGCCTTATAATCTCCGCCTCCACATGGTGGACAAACAGGTTGGTCACATGTGAAAGAAAACCATCAGCCAAACAATGAGTCGTTAGTGCCTTGATTAGATCTATTGTTCATAGAGGGTCATGTGTTCCATCACCTGAGTATCGTTGGGGCCCTGATTCACACCTTTTGCTCACAGGGGGCGGAGTCATGCCTGCAATAACAGCATTGTAGGAGGAGGACAACTGGACACGAAGTCCTCCACCTCTGTTTAATGGTGGACRGTTTTTCTTCACAAAGATGGCTTCCTTTACTCCTCTCTCAAAACAATGTTCCTCTCTATCAAGGATGAGAACATCCTCATCCCTGAAAGAGTGACTGCTGGCCTGCATATGAGTGTAAACTGTAGAGTCCTGGCCTGTAGATGAGTGTAAACTGTAGAGTCATGGACTGACGATGTTGCTTGTCTGTACTGGTGCATTCTTTTGAACAGTGGCTGTTTTGTTTCCCCGATGTATAACTGATCACAGTCCTCCTGACACTTAACAGCATACACTATATTACTCTGTTAGTGCCGGGGAACTGGATCTTTGGGGTGAAACAATCCTTGTTGTAATGTGTTTAAGGGTTTAAAAGCCACTGGGACATCTTATTAAGAGAATAAACGTCTCAGTTTCTCTGAAACACAATATACTGTATGGAATGACGACTGGTTTGGGTCTGGGTTTAGGTTCTTCATTTTCACCTGGTTGTTGGCTGGAATCCTGTTTTGGTTTCTTGTCTGCTTTCAGGAAAGCCCAGTTAGGATAAACMCACTGCTCCAGGGCCTGTCTTGTGTGTGATATTTCCTTCTCCCTGGCTCCTGTGTTTGTGGGGACACTGTCTGCTCTGTGGTACAGAGTCCTGATGACTCCTAACTTGTGTTCCAGTGGGTGATGGGAATCAAATACTGGTCTGTATGGGTGGGTTTGCGATACACGTCAGTTTCCAACCCTCCTCCATCAGAAACTGAGACATCACAGTCCACAGTCCATTACTTTTATTTAAATCGTATTCTTTTCTCTCTCTTCGTTCACCATCACTAGCATAAAAAAAATCTCCGGTCGGGCTGCAATGCATTATTGGTATATGCTGGGCCGGGTAGGATCCATCGGACCAGTCCTTCAATTCGGGGCAATAGAAGGATTCATTTGTCGGCCGTATTGGAGGGGTCTTTGGTTTTGGACGGCCTCCGTCGCATCGCTGTGACATATGCAGCTGACAAATTCGGCCTTCAGAGGACCCGGCCCAGCGTTTTGGACACAGCCACAGTAACTCATCAGTAACTACTAATAACTACTACTAACTACTTAGTAACTACTAGTAGTTACTAAGTGCTACTACTTACTAAGTACAGTAACTGACTTAGTAACTACTGAGTAGTTCGTCAGGGCAATATCATGTAAAATCAACTTTTTTTTTAGTTTCATATCATGTTATAATGTTATACTCTCATAAAAAAAAACATGCCCAAAGCCTTGCTTTGACTCATTCATCATGTTTGAGAAATCCTGCAGTGTTTTTATGAAGCCATGCTGAGGAGCAAAACGACAGGTGGGGACCAGGAACGCCTTTTGGCACCAGGAACGCCCCTGGGACGTGTCTTTAAGCTGAACTTCTTCTGGCAGAGCGCCCCCCCCCCTTCTTCCCCACACACCCCACCCATGACTCCTGCAGGATCTCGAGTGAAAGTGAAACTTAAACTGTCTGCTGAGCTCTCAACATTAGTTCTCACCCAGTGAAGCTCTTTTCAGATTCAAAATACCTTTGAGAAAATGTATTTTCAGATGCCAAGTAAACTGCATCATGGCAGCCCTCCCCCCTGTGCACTGAAATGGGCGAGACAGAAGCGGAAGGTGGTTCTTAAAGAGACAGAGGCCAATTTCAAGACGTTTAGACGAGGAGGTAATGAGAAGATACGTTTATTTTCTATTTAAACATAAAAAACAGCATTTTAATAGCAGCTAAAGGTGACATAGATACTTTATTATGGTATAGTATTTAAATGTATGCCTATGAAACACATAATATTGCCCCTTTAAGCAATTTTTGTGTACCTTATTGTAAAATGTGACCAATGTTTTTTTAACTTAAAGTTGAAATTATTAAAATCTATTCAATTATATAATTTGTCACTTTGTTGCCATAATTTTTTTAAGTCTAAATGTCTTCTCAACTATTCCTGAGTGAAGCCACAGATCTGATCACAGGACACTTCTCAAATCTGGACCAACCTGATCACAACTGGAAAAAGTCCTGTTGGCCCAGATCCAGACTCCTCAAGTCTTACATTAATGTTAAAGTAAAGTCCACCATGTTTGACTCAAACTTCAGCCAAATGCTTCCTGTACAGCCAATCATTTCCTTCGTATATATATATATATACTGTATATACAGTAGATATAGATATAGATATAGATATAGATATAGATATAGATAGTCCTCATCTCCAGCTGTGATCAGACGAGACATAGGGTCTCCAGACCATCAGCATCTGGGTGCTGCGCTGGAATCCATTTATTCTAATAAAACCAGGTTGTTTTCAGATTCGCCGGACATCTCAGAGCAGGTCTGATTAATATTTACAACCACTTTAACCGCCTGCTTATTCCAGTAATTCAGAGTAATGAGGGAGTGAAAGTTCAACAGCTCACATCAGCAAGATTTAGAAACTGCTGAGAGCAGCTGGGCACAGACTTTTAAAGACCCGCCGCTCCATAAACACTGCAGGACACGAGCTGCCAGGCCTCATTAGCCACGCAGATGTTTTCCAGCCGGCGATACGGAGGTCATAAAACACCGATAAGTGTGAGAATGTCTCTGCCACGACAGGTGGACGTAGGCGGAGGTGAAGCCTCCGGGGTTGGAATTGAAGCTAATTAGCATCTACGTGTTTGGGAAAAAAAAGGCAGAGAGAACAGGGACGTGTGAGTGGTCAGAGTTTACAAAAAATAATATTTTACAAGTTTCTGCTCCAGTATTGTGGAGGTCGTTTGGAGTTCAGCATTTCTTGTTATGAGAAATACAAAATTTATTTTAGACATTTTTAGAATTTTGACACATTTATATGTGATGCAACACATTGAAAACGTGGGATTATTTTTATAGAGCAGCTCAGGATTCAGCGACTGAATGAAAATAATTTATTATAAAGTTGGGGAAAAGCTGGTGAAGCTTTTGGTTTTATTTTTAAATTAGATTCAGACTCTGACTAGACTTAAATTAGATTAAAGTCTCTGCATGTTTTGATAATTTTCATCATTTGAAGTTGTTTTATACAGAGTACCGAAAGCAACATAATTAAAAATAAAAGCAGAAATATATAAAAGGACGAATAAATAAATAAATACAAATAAAGTGCACCAATTAAGTTAAAAACAAAAACAAAGAGGAAAAAAATTACCTGTGCCTTGGTTTTAAACTAAATTTTAAACTTGAATCTAAACTGAGGCAGCAGCAGCAGCACAGTAGATCTGCACATGGATCCTGCTACTTCCTGTCTGTTGACCAATAGGAGAGCAGCTTACCCGAGAAGCTCCTCCCACATTATTTACATAATGAGGCAGAAATGCATAAGGTGAGTAAAAACAGGAGGCAGAGAAATGTAAAAGCAACACATGGAAATGAAAAGACTTGTGAGAAAAATCTAAAAAATAATTAAATATAATTTAAGAGATACAAATG